AGGTTCAATGGTCCTGTGCACATTGTGTAAAACTGCTGGAAAAGAGATGCTCCATGAGGCTAACAAGAACCCGGAGATGCGGCATAATCAAGTTGATTTCCAAACGAGGCTGACTTTGGACAGGCGTTCAAAGCAGCCGACACACACACGGATACCTGAGTGAGCAGGGGGAGGATGGAAAGAGCTGGAAAGTTTTCCAAAAAGCTGGAATTTTAAACCCATCCTTTCCTACCTCCGCCAAGGACTTCCCATTCCCAACATTTTTGCCTGCAGTGGTTCACTTAATAATTGTGGCTCAAGCAAAGGTCCTAAAACAGGGTGAAATTTCACTTAACCAATGTCTCATTTAGCAACAGAAATCTTGGGCTCAACTGTGGCCATACGTCGAGGACTTCCCGTATTTCTGGGGTATCTGCCCCAGTTGCTGTCCGCCTTCCTCTTTGGCGGGATTTTTGGGAGGTGGGAATCCCTGCCATCTCATCTGGCACCCACTGCCCCCACCCCCAAATTCTTCAAACCGTTATTATCGTTCCATTCTGCGTGTGTATAATTGGCGGTAAGCATAACATGCAAAATGATCTTCTTGGGCTTTTTGCAGATTGGAATTTCGCTCGCTTACTTGACTTGTCGGTGGTGCGGAAATAGAACACGAAGGTATATAGTTGGGAGGGAGGGGAAAAAAATATCCATGATGGGGAAACAGTTCATGTAGGATTGCAAATTGTCCCCGAGAAAGCGGGGGGGGGGGGAGTCACGTCAGATATTAGTTTGTTAAGATGGAGGCCTTGCTTCTGATTCAGTTATGATTGCAAGCCAAAGATCCACATTTTAGCAGCTGCCCCAGGCCGTTTGCCTCGCATAGGAGGAAATGCAAACGAAGCTCTGCAACTTCAAGGAGAAGATGCAGTCGCATTCCTTTTTCATTTTCTAAGCTACCAGAGTACATTTGAAGAGAAGAGAAGAGAAGAGAAGAGTAGAGAAGAGGGAATGGAATACAGAATGGAATGGAATATAGAATATAGATGAATAGAGTGGAGTAGAGTAGAGTAGAGTAGAAGAGAAAAGAAGAGAAGAGAAGAGAAGAATGGAATACAGAATGGAATGGAATATAGAATATAGATGAATAGAGTGGAGTAGAGTAGAGTAGAGTAAAAGAGAAGAGAAGAGAAGAGAAGAGAAGAGAAGAGAAGAGAAGAGAAGAGAAGAGAAGAGAAGAGAAGAGAAGAGAAGAGAAGAGAAGAGAGAATGGAATGCAGAATGGAATGGAATATCGAATATAGAAGAATAGAATGGAGTAGAGTAGAGTAGAGTAGAGTAGAGTAGAGAAGGGAAGGGAAGGGAATGGAATGGAATGGAATACAGAATGGAATGGAATATAGAAGAGTGGAGTAGGGTAGGGTAGGGTAGGGTAGGGTAGGGTAGGGTACGGTAGGGTAGGGTACGGTAGAATGGAATGGAATAGAATAGAAACTGGAAGGGACTTTGGAGGTCTTCTAGTCCAACCCTCTGCTCAAACAGGAGGCCCTATACAATTTGAGACAAATAGCTGTCCATTCTCTTCTTAAAAACCTCCAGTGTTGGAGTACGGTGAGAACAATTAATCAGGGGAACAGAAGTTGCCTCCAGAAGTCGTGAATGCTCCAACACTGGAAGCTTTTAAGAAGATGTTGGATAACCATTTGTCTGAAGTGGTGTAGGGTTTCCTGCCTAGGCAATGGGTTGGACTAGAAGACCTCCAAGGTCCCTTCCAACTCTGTTACTCTATTCATAAAATCGGGCGCAATTCACTTAATAACCACCTTGCTTAGTAACAGAAACTCAGGTCCCAACTCTGGTCATAAGTTGAGGACTATAGCCCTCTCCCACATAGCAAAAGGGTACCATTATCACATGACCTAAAACTATACACTATGTACAAATGGTTCTACATTCTGTCCGTCAAATCCTCTTTCACTCTTCCCCGCCCCTTTCTTTCTGCACCCCTCCCCAAAGCCAAGTTCCTCCTCCCCCACCCCCAGCCTCGAAATAGCTCTGCCCAACTGCATTAAACTTTCGTGGCTTGTACCATTTCAGACTGCGGAAGAGGGGAGCCCGCTGGAAAGGGAAGGAAGAGCGCAAGAGCAGATGGATTGCGGGGAAAGGCAAGTGGTGGAGGAATGACTAATAAAAATTTATTAGGTAGAGAGAACTATAAATAGCCTTCCTTTTCCCCCCCTCTTCCTTCTCCCCTGAGAGTGGAGCTGAAATGGCTCGTTTTTTTGCAAACAAGCAGTTGTCACTCACCTCCGCCAGAAGAGCGTTGCTGAGCTAGAAGCTGGAGCCAAAAAAGCAAAAGAACATTGATTACCCCATAAATCAAGTGCTCGGGCGATGGTGGAGAATTAACCTGTTCGGAAAGGCGGAGGGGGGAGAAACCGAGAGCATTCTTGGAGCAAAATCCCAGGTTTAATTGAGGGTTTCCATACCTTCTCCAGAAGATTTTTCTGCAACATGGCCTCCCGGGCCCTACTCCTCCTGGCCTCCATCCAAAGACCTTTGGTCCCAACTTGTACTGACTGAGTGAGGGCCTCAACTTACTGCGTGTTCATCCCATGCTGCCTTCCCCCTTTTGAATTCTTCGGATTCTTTGAAGCAAGGAGGATGGAGCTACTGAGACATGAAGTTCGCTAGTGCTGGAACATAGGGGGGAATGTAATTCTTCACTACTCCAACTTGATCTTGTCCTTAGTCTATCAGTCCTTATTCTAAGTCCTGGCAGTTTTACTGGGATCGAGTTCTGGGTTTATCCCAATTCATTCCTTTCTTCTATTTCCTTTTTCCTCCTTCTCCTCCTCCTCCAACACTCCTCCTCCTCCTTCTTCTCCTTCTCCTCCAACAATCCTTCTCCTCCTTCTCCTTCTTCTCCTCCTTCTCCTCCTCCTCCTTCTCCAACACTCCTTCTTCTCCTCTTTCTCGCCTTCCTCCTCCTCCTTCTCCTCTTTCTCCTCCTCCAAAATTCCTTCTTCTCCTCTTCCTCCTCCTTCTCCTTCTCCTCCTTCTCCTCTTTCTCCTCCTCCAAAATTCCTTCTTCTCCTCTTTCTCCTCCTTCTTCTCCTTCTTCTTCTCCTCCTCCTCCTCTTTCTCCTCCTTCTTCTCCTTCTTCTCCTCCCCCTCCTCCTTTTTCTCCTCCTCCTCCAACACTCCTCCTCTTTCTTCTCCTTCTCCTCCAACAATCCTTCTCCTCCTTCTCCTTCTTCTCCTTCTCCTCCTCCTCCTTCTCCAACACTCCTTCTTCTCCTCTTTCTCTCCTTCTTCCTCCTCCTCCTCCTCCTCCTTCTCCTCTTCCTCCTCCTCCAAAATTCCTTCTTCTCTTCTCCCTCCTCCTCCTTCTTCTCCTTCTTCTCCTTTTTCTCGTCTTCCAACACTCCTCCTCCTTCTCCTTCTCCTCCAACAATCCTTCTTCTCCTTCTCCTCTTCCTCCTCCTCCAAAACTCCTCCTCCCCCTCCTTTTCTTTATGCTTCTTCTTTTACCAGTAGGGGAATACAAGTTCTTCTGTAACAGAGTCATTGCGAGTTTTACAAGAGGCACCTTAATGGAAATGATCCTTTGGGATCAATGCTTAGGAAACATCCCTGCATAATTAATTGAGATGCCTCACTTGGCACAATCCATCTTCCTTGGCATAAACAAGGAATCCTAAGGCAGAAAGGATTATATGGGCGAAGATTCCAGGCTGCTGTTACACCCAACCCTTCCTTCTTTAAAATCCTTCTTTGGTCCTGGGGGTTTCTCTCCCACCCTTGTCCCCATCTCTCTGGGTTAACCTTTTTCAATTCTTTATCCCTCTTCAGACCTTCAGACCTTTCAACTAGCATCTGTCTCTGTCATACCGGTAGCATTTAAAACCCAACAAACCTATTCGAAATAATCTAACAAAATGAA